CCCCACCCCTTGGCAGCATGGTCACCTCAGGCTGCGTGATTCCCTCCTTTCCATTTCCTGCACTCCTAAAACATGTCTACACCCTGGCTCTTGGTTAAGGCAAGGCTTGACATTCACCCTAGCAATATTCTGCATATACACCCAGACTGCATCCTTCCTAAGGCTGGTCTAGGAGGATGCACGTGCAGGTAGGTTAACGGTGTGAGATGTCAGGTGGTGCAGGGAGACGCAGGGGTCAGCAGAAGACCCTTGGTCTCAGTTTGGAAGTGTGAGTAGTGGGGAGCCTTGATTCAGCTCTTGATCTCGGGGTCGTGAGTTTGAGCCCCACATTGGGTGTAGAGATTACTTAAAAATAGATAAACTTAGGGAAAAAAAGGAAGTGTGAGTAGTGGCGAGCGTAGCAGATGGGGTCGTGAAACCTCTATTCTAATCTTGGCTCTCCATAGACGGCTTATCCTTACGGAAGTCACTGGCCATTCTTATGCCTCGGTTTCCCCATCTGTAAAATGCCGGGGTCGCATTAGATGATCTTTCCCATTTCTCACGGTTTTAAGATCCCTTTCTGTGACATGGAGGCTCAAGGGGACAGATGAGTAACGTTATGACAGTGTGCTGTGGTTCGAGGGCAAGTTCCAGGGCGGGTGTGTGGATGGCGTACAATATCTGAATCCCTGACCTCATAACCCTCTGCCTTCAGATATTGGAGGTTTCTTTGAGCCCGGCACCTGGATGCGCTACAACCTCCAGTCAGCACTGCGCTCGGCGGCCCGGGAGTTCTCCCACATGCTGAGCCGGCCGGTACCAGGCTATGAGCCCGGCTACATCCCTGGCTATGACACCCCTGGCTACGTGCCTGGCTACCATGGCCCTGGCTACCGTCTGCCCGACTACCCCCGGCCTGGCCGGCCGGTGCCCGGTTACCGCGGGCCTGTCTACAACGTCACCGGTGAGGAGGTGTCCTTCAGCTTCAGCACTGACTCCGCCCCTGCGGTCCTGCTCTACGTCAGCTCCTTTGTGCGGGACTACATGGCCGTGCTCATCAAAGAAGACGGTAAGCTCACATCAGCTGTCCCTCGGCTCGGTGTCGTGCAGGGAGCCCTTCACTTTCACGACTGTTGGTCTGCTAGTACAAGGACCCAAGCATTCTCAGAAGATGGGGGCTGGGGCGCCTGGGTGGCTCAGTGGGTTGAGCATCAGACTTCGGCTCAGGTCATGATCTCATGGTTCGTGGGCTTGAGCCCCGCATCGGGCTCTGTGCTGACAGCTCAGAGCCTGGAGCCTGCTTCTGATTCTGTGTCTTCCTCTGTCTCTGCGCCTCTACTGCACATGCTCTGTCTCTCTCTCTCTCTCAAAAACAAACATTAAAAAAAAAAAGATGGGGGCTGTGGGAGCCCAGAGGAGACCCCTTTTGTCCTCCCCACCCCACAGGGACCCTGCAGCTGCGGTATCAGCTGGGCACCAGCCCCTACGTGTACCAGCTGACCACGAAGCCGGTCACGGATGGCCAGCCCCACAGCGTCAACATCACCCGGGTCTACCGCAACCTCTTCATCCAGGTGCGTGTGGAGGGAGGTGGACAAGGGGTTGGACTGGCTCAGATCATAACCTCGTGATCGAGGCAGTGGCACCCAGGAAGATGCCAAATAGTTAGCATGAGTTGAGCACACTACAGTGTGAGGATTCTCATGGGTACTACCTCACGCGACCCTCACAACTCTGTGTGGTGGCTCAGGTGGGCAGGGCTCTTCTCACGTCTGTTTTATAAATCAGTAAATGGGCTCAGAAAGAAAAGGGGACTCCACAAAGTCAAGCCACTGGTAGCCTCAAAGACAGCCCAGAACAAGGCTGTTGGGTTTTTAATATGAAATCTTTCATGTGGGTCCAGGGGTTGTCCAACCAGAACTAAGCCAGGACTCAACACCAGTGTGGGTGGAACAGGAGTCCCTGTGTGGTTTTGGCTTTGTCGGCCTCTGGTTCTCCCTCCCTCAGCTCCTCTCCTCTCCCTTCCCCTCAGGTGGACTACTTCCCACTGACAGAACAGAAGTTCTCACTGCTGGTGGACAGCCAGCTGGACTCACCCAAGGCCTTGTATCTAGGGCGTGTGATGGGTGAGCCGTGGGTGCCATTGTGTTTGGGGTAAGGAGTTATGGGTGAGGTTCCCAGAGCCTAGAGAGCGAGGGACCTGGGAAGGGCTGGGATGGCGGTGATAACGAGGCACAGGAACCCTGTGGACGGCGAGAGGAGTGAGAGGGGCCAGACTACGGGTGGTCCCAGCCCCTCTCCTTCTGGGCGGGCCTCTCCCTCAGAGACGGGAGTCATTGACCCCGAGATCCAGCGCTACAACACACCAGGCTTCTCGGGCTGCCTGTCTGGTGTTCGATTCAACAACGTGGCCCCTCTCAAGACCCACTTCCGAACCCCTCGACCCATGACCGCTGAGCTGGCAGAGGCCCTCCGAGTTCAGGGAGACCTGTCTGAATCTAACTGCGGAGCCATGCCCCGTCTTTTCTCAGAGGTGCCACCTGAGCTGGATCCCTGGTATCTGCCCCCAGGTATGGCCAGGGCACGTGGAAGAGAGAGGGGAGCGAGGGGGCAGCAGGGAAGGGAAACGATTCTTTACCAGGTGGGGGCTTCTCCTAACCGGCGCTCTCTCCTCTACAGACTTCCCGTACTACCACGATGAGGGCTGGGTTGCCATACTTTTAGGCTGTGAGTAACATGATCACTACCCTGACCTCCTAATGCTACCCTCTGTCAGCACTCCCCGTCCCGCATCCCCAGGGCTGAGGGGTGGCGAAGGCACTCGGTGCAGGGTGGTGCGAACAAGGCTGAGCCAGGCTGTGCTGACGGTAGTATAGAATTGAGTTGGAGAGTTTTATTTGTCAATGTTTATTTATTTTTGAGAGCGAGCAAGCGAGCATGAGTGGGGGAGGGGCAGAGAGAGACGGGGACAGAGGATCTGAGGCGGGCTCCGTGTTGACAGCAGCGAGCCCGATGCAGGACTTGAACTCACAAACCCTGAGGTCATGACTTAGGCTGAAGCCAGACGCTCAGGCGCCCCCAAGTTGGAGATGTTTAAATGTTTGAGGATGCTACAGACTTTTAATTGAAATGAAATATTAAACTGGGGCTATGGCTAAGGGATGAGGAAATGAGGGTGCAGTAACACTTGAGAGGTGAGAAACTGGGGTAAAAGGGATGCAGACCCGCCAGACACTTGGGAATGGCCTGACGCGATCGAACGGCAGCCAGTCACACATGTATTCTTTTGGCCCAAAGCATGCATGTGTGTCTGCATACATGTGAGGCCCACCCCACCCCGGGGCCTGCCCTGAATTGTTCCTTTTTCCTTTTGCAGTTTTGGTGGCCTTCCTGCTGCTGGGGCTGGTGGGGATGTTGGTGCTCTTCTATCTGCAAAATCATCGCTACAAGGGCTCCTACCACACCAATGAGCCCAAGGCCACCCATGATTACCACCCTGGCAGCAAACCTCCCCTACCGACTTCGGGCGCCACCCAGGTCCCAGCCCCTACACCGGCTTCTGCCCCAGCCCCAGCCCCAGCCCCAGCCCCAGCCCCAGCCCCAGCCCCGGGCCCCCGGGACCAGAATCTCCCTCAGATCCTGGAGGAGTCCAGGTCTGAATGAATCAGGAGAAGGGCTTTAGGGACCACGTCCATCTCCTCTGAGTTCCCCAATGCCTGCCTTTCCCCACCCTGTCAGGGACATTTGGCTCCTCTTAGCGGGTTCTGCTCATCCAGAGGATGCCCCTCCTGCCACGCTTGGTGGGCAGAGCTACAGACGGGACCAAAGAGAGTGGCCAAGCCTCACTGCCTATACCAGTGCCCTCCCCCTAGCCCCGTTTCCCCAGTCCCCGGTTGGTTGCCTGCCCCAAAGGAGAAGCTCCATGGGGTTGAGACAGGCCCTCCCTGCCATCTCTGTCCCAGCTGCTGCCAGGGATTAACAACAGACTGCAAGAGAGATGAACTGCTTCCCTTCCAGTATTGCATCTCAGCAGGGACAGATGTGTGGGATTGCAGGGATGCCCAGGGCATGGGGGGAGGAGGCTGCTAAATCACATCCCCTAGCCTCCCCCCTGCCCTGCAGAATGTCTTCCACCTGCTTCCACTCAGCTGGGGGTTAGGGAGGGCTTCATTGCTGTCCCCAACCCTCTCTTTTTTGTTTTTTTATGGAGACCGAGAGGCTTCCATGTTAGCACCTTAGTACCTCCACTGCTTAACATGCTTTAGCCAAAGCCATAAAAACAACTTGCAACGTAGAGAGAATAATGCAGACGCACTGACTAGCCTGCCCTCTATTCGTCCTCCCTCTTCCAAGATATGCAAGAGCCTTGGTGCCTGTCCAAAGGCTTGGCCCCCTCTCCAGTGCATGAGGAGCCCTTTTTCCTCCGCTCAGAAATGCTGCTTCGTTTGCCCAGGAGGTCATGTTCTTTATATATATTTTGTGTTGCAAAGTCTCTCTCTAGAGAAACTCTATATACTACTCTAATTTTTTAATTATCAGTTTATATATAAAAGAAAAAACTCGAGCGACTGTCCTGTCCTGTGCTGTGCCACGGTCTATAGTTCTTGCTTCTCCCGTGTTGGAAGTCTCGGGAGGCAGGCTGGCCACTCCCCGAGCCTGACCCAGCCTCCACTCTGCAGCTGTGCTCGCAGACCCAGGGCCGTTCTAATAAAGCAGAGTGGCAGAGCCCCCGGTCTGTGCGTGGTCGCTGGCGTCGTGGCTAGGGAGCAAGCGGATGACTTTAGGGGAGCTGACCTGAGGGCTCAGGCGTTTCCACCAGGAGCCCTCAGAATGCTTGCATCGCCTGCTGGGGGTGGGGACCTGACTGGCTCTTGCCACCCATCCTTGCCGGGCCCCTGACCCCAGATCTCAGTGGACAGGAGGGGATGCGAATGCTAATGATTCAACCTCAGCTGCCGCTGTACTGATGTCCCTGGATCCTTCCAGCTCCACGGTAAACAAGGCGCCACTTGCCAAAATGGATTCTACCACTTTATTCAGATAAGAGGTCACAAGCCACAGGACTTTAAAGTGCGTGAAATTCACTGGCGATAAAGCCGCACATAGACCAGCCTCCCCCACCCAGTCCCCACCACCTTGCTCCATCCATCATTCCATGTCTGGGGGGAGGGGTTGAGACCCGTCATTAAAGGTGGGGGACAGCAGGGAAAAGAGGAATGCTGGTGGAACAGGACCATTAGTGGTCTGAGACCGGGAAGGATGGGGTTCTGTGCGCCAAGGGAAGAGGGGTCAATCTAGCCTCTCAGTGACTGACTGTAACTTTTCCCCATGGTTTCCTCATAGCCAGCCCCATTTTCTAACAGACCTAACTCCTGCTTCTTCATCTGTCTCTGGTTTTTCCCTATAATTTGTGAGCACTTCAGAGCCCATGATCCAACTATAGGGCCTCCCCAGTACACAATGAATACAAACCACAGCAGATGCAGATTTCGGACTGGTGGCGGGGCCAGCTGGTCAGGTGGAGAGAGGCCCCCATCAGGAACTGGCTGGGAGTGTGCTCCGTGCTGAGTGCATGAGTGCCCACAAGTGTGGCGCGTGGAGATGTGAGTGTGTGTGTGTGTGTGTGCGCGTGCACGCGTGCATGTCCCACCAAAATCCCTAGGCAACAGTCTGGCCAAAGGGAACCCCACTTCTTGCTTCGTGGGACAGCCAGTGGCGTTGGGAGGGAGTGGTCAGTATTGACCGAGGAAGAAAGGCCTGGATTCCCTAGAGAAAAGAGAAGCCTGCTCTCTATGCTCATATTCCCCAGGCCAGCCTGTCCCTGACACTGTCCTTTTTACCCAGCACAATGCTCCTTACTCCTTGCCAGCTCAGCACACCAGGACAGACTCAGGGTGGGCTCCTAGAGCTGGCCCCATCCTCATTCACTTCCTGTGTGTCAAGGAAGCCCCTCCTGCCTCCACTGGGAGCTGGGACAGAACTGGGGGGGAATTTTCCAACTCCCTCTCCTTCCCCTTCCCTTAGGAATGGGATTTGGGCAGGGATCCCAGACACGTGAGCTCAAATTCCACCTCAATCTACAGACCTTCTCAAAGAAATAAAGTGCTTTGCTCTTCAAGAGTCCCAGAGAGAATGGCGCTGTGTACTGGCGCAAGAGGTTGGCCGGCTTCTCAACACTTCAAATACCCTCTGCCAGTGTGCACTTGCGAGCCTGGTGCCACCCTGCACATGTGCAACTTGGGAGCCCCTCATCCACCTCCAAACACATGCCGTCGACTCACCCTTTCCAACAGCAGGTGCTACAGACAGGAGAGTAAATCGCCTTAGCAACCTCTCACCTCTCTAGTCCAGGCCTTCACCCCTCTAGCTGGAAGACATAAGCAACAGAGGCCCCATGGGCCTAGCCTCTAAAGGGAATGCAAAGCCTGAAGACAGCTCCATAGCCAGGACCAGAGTGCGCAGGCCCGGCCGGCCCGACACACCCCCCCCCCGGGAGTCCTCAGTAGCAGCACAACACCTGCCCGCAGGCGCCCAGGCCGAGCTTTGGAAGGAGCCGACAGCGCTGGCACCTGCTTTCAGGAATCTGCAAACTTATCCATCCGTCTCCAGAGTACAGAGAAGGTTTCTGAAAGCTTGGTGGGCCCCAAGCTTAGCAGCTGAACTGCTGTCATCTGGATGGCTCTCACTCTCTGTCCATGGAGGAACGGCACTTAGCTTTCCTTCTCTAGTCGAATTCTCTACTTGAATTTCTACACTCAGAACTCACACTCCTTCAATTTGAACGCTGCCAGGAGGGAAGAGGTAGTAGGGCAACCCGTCTTCCCCCTGAATTCAGTCTGTGCCACACACCAGGCTTGCCTTTAACCCAGGCTGCTCGTAAGCTCCAGGTACCAAACTTCACTTAGCCCGTCCTCTCCGGTCCTACGACCAACCAGAGACACGGGCTGGTGACTCAATTAGACAAGGACCCTTGCCTTGGAAAGGTAGAATGACAGGCCACTGCTTGTTAGGAACTGCCCAGGTTGATTGCTGAGGCCCATGACCTACGGAGCAGACAAGAAACCACGCTGAGCCACCCGCCCCTAGCCCGCGCTCTCTTCCTCTGAGGCCCGAGATGCGGTCTCCCGCTTCTGCGGCTCTCTCTCCTGGGAGCCCAGCCCTAGCTGCCTCTGTCTCCTCTCTCACTGAGACAGTCTGTCCCCACTGGACACAGCAGAGGCCTCGCTGCGCAGGGAGTGGGTGGGGGGTTTCTCGGTGTGGGAGACACGTAGTGCAGGAAAGTCGAGCAGCGGTGGTGTGTGCATGAGAGCAAAGACAATGCTGCTACAACAAGCGCCGGCGTGGGGGCCAGGAGGGCTAAAGGACATCAGTCTCCCGCTCGATCCCCACGTACTTGAGGGCATCAGCTTGGCTGTACCTGTCCCAGAGCAGGAGGAGGAATGACATTACTGTCAAGGCTTTTGTGACACGACAGACGGAATCCCCTCCATTTTGCTTCCCCACATCCCTCAGAGCAGCTTACGGTGCTGCCGCTTCTGGGGCAGGGCACCCGTGAGCGGAACAAAAAGAAAGACTTGACCTCCATGAGACCCTAGAGACCCTCTCCTTCATCCGTATTGCCCACCTTATGACCCCAAATTACTTCGAACAGCCACCCTTCTGCCTCTGGGGCCACCTCCCAAGGACCCTTTCCGGCTGCCTCACCTGTAATCAAAGAAGAGCTCTTCACCAGCTTGAATTGCCCTTTTAGCAAAGATCCCAATGCGATGATCCCCATTCACCATGACCACTGCAAACAGGGCAAAGCCAAGGCTAGGTTGCTAGTCAGCTCCAAGCCAACAATAGGCGGGTTCTGGGCTGATTTTCTCCCAATTCCCAGTGAAAACATAAATGGAGTGGAGTTTAAAAATAGTCAATGAAGCCCGCTGCCTCTCTGCTTTTGGATCTGTTATTCGGGCTGGTGATGTGGGGAAAGACTTCTCTTTAAAAGATTCTTGTTTGTGGGAAAATGTTTATAATGTATTCAGTGAGAATGCCAATTAACAAAAGAGAGACGGAGACACAGAATGACACCAGACATTAAACACGATTGTCTCTGGACAAAAAATAAGTTGGCAATGAAAAAAGGCACATGATAGAAATCATAGTAAATAAAGCATCCCTCATCCACCCTACCTCCCAGGTCACTGGGAACTCACCTTTGGCATAACAGTTGGGGTTCACTGAATGGTTTGCAAATCGAATTTTGTTTCCTTTCCGGGTGGCATCTACTACAAAATCTATAGAACATAAAGAAAGATCAGGGGCTCGTCAGGCAAATCCACAGCTTCTTGAACCTGATTTTAAAATCAATTAAAACAGTAACAGAAATAAGCCAGTGGAGACTGAAACCCAGCAGCACGCAGCATAGGAATGCAGCCTCACGTGGGCACATTCCCTTTGGGCCCCCCCACTTTGCAGGAATTACGGATCTCCCCTTCCCATCTACTAGGTAGGAAGATGTCTCAGGTGTCAAGTGCTCAGTGATCCGATTATAAGCACAACCCAGAAATGTAGGTTCTCCCAAAGCAAGTAACCTGTCACTCATGGTGACTTGAAGTTCAACATCCTCACCTTCCTCTGTGCATCTATTGGGATAATCACAGCTCATTTGAACGTGGGCTATAGCAAGGGCAATCTGGTAGAAAGACCTGCCTGAGACCACCTTGGGCCAAGAGAAAGAGACTCCATACCATTGTTGAGGTTGAAGAGGAAGCTGGACATGTATTTGTCATAGACCTTTCCCCGTCGATCAGCCTCATCCTGAGAGATAAGCTGCAAAGATAGATAAGGAACAAACGGGAGGCTGGGAGGGGGATAAGGCTGTCTGCTCAGGGCGGGGTACCCTGCCCTCAGAAAGGACTGGGAGGGGGCACGGTCACACACACGTGCTTACGGAGTATCATGATGAGGGTGACAGGAGACAGAGCTCGAGTTACTGTATTCTAAGCCCCTCCAGGCTGCCCAGTATTAAGACTAAAGAGCGTTCCCCACCCACCCCCTTGCGTGGCCTGAGTTGGCAAAAACTTTAAGAGTGGTTTATCTCAGGATTGCAAACACTTCTGTGGGATCCCTCAAGAAGCCACACGGGAACTCAGCTGAGTTATTTAGAGACTAAGTCACAGAAGTCTGGCCCACAGAAAATCAGGGTTTCTCATCAGTATCTCCCCAGAAAGGAATGCGGTCCAAACCGATAGCACTCACCTCACCACAGTATTCAGAAATGAATTCGTTCTTTTGCACAGACTCCTTAATGAAGGTGCCCCATCCGGCCACATCTGAGGGGGCCAGCAGCAGGTGCTGGGGAAGAGGGAGTCAAACCTCAGACTACAGGGCATGTGTGAGTGGGTGGCGTGTGTCCTGGACCTGCATGTGTGTAGGGGGTGGGCAGGGTGGAAGAAACTAGTAACTGTTAAGAGGATCTGAAAACAGAAAAAGGTCTAAGCCATTCTGTTCTGGGGAGAGGAAAAACAGAAAAGGGAGGTGGGGAAAGGAAACATGACACCTCCTCCTCTAGGCCTGGGGACCTCCTGGACCTGAGTCACTAGGGATTCACCGCTACGGGTCAAGTACAAACAGACAACGTCAGTGATGTGTCCATCCTCTCTGCTCCTCTTAGTCTGGCCAGGTGGGGGTCACTTGCCTAACTCCTCACCGGGACAGCAAACTTGTTTTCATCTCAGTACATGTGTGTCTTTTAGGATTAGCAAGCCCTTTCATGTGGAAACCCCCTAAGGGACTGGTGGAAAGAAGCTGCTTGGGACTACTCAGTCTTTCCCCCTCCACCATCTGGCTCGCAGTCCCAAGAAAAGCCCTCACCTTCTTAAGGCCTCGCTGGATGCTGCAGTTTTTGCAGGAAACCACCTTGCAGTCCCAGTGCTCCGAGGCCCCACAGGTGAGGCACAGGTCGGGGTCGCACTCTCGCACTGCCAGGTAGCAGGGACACTGCTTGGTATTGCACTGGGTCTTACAGCGACAGCCAGGGAAACGATTCTGACCTGGGGAGGAGGGGGGATCAGGAAGAGAAGCAGATTAATGCTAGCGCTCAGGTCTGACTCAGAGGTCAGCAAAGAAGTAAACGTGATGTGTTCGAGGAGATCTGGCAAGTAGGAGAGACGCTTCCTTGCTTCATATAGTCAAAGTTGGGGTTTTTTTCTCCCCCACCAGAGAAAATGGAGTACCTCCCAAGATTCATGTCTGGGAGTCAAAAAAAAAAAAAAAAAAAAAAAAGGTTTGACTATGGAGATGTGTTTCCTAGAGATTCCTCAACAGTGCTCTCCCTCCCACTTGTTGGTGTAAATGGAAGGGAGGTGGTTAGGGGCCCAGAGAAAATGAAATCAGTGCTTTTCACTGGTAAATCATCACCATCAAAACAAGAATGATTTTGAGAACAAAATGCATCTGTTCTATGCCACCCTCCTCCACCCACTGCCCTCCCCGGCACAAGCACCCCTCTGCTGTGGCTAAGATTGATATCTGCTGTGGGCTAAGAGGTATTTCCAGCACAACTGCCTGGGCACCCAGTTCTGCAGGCTCTGGAGGCTGCCATCGAACTGCTCAGCCTTGAGCGGGGAAGGGCACAATGCGGTAAGAAGTCAAAGAGAAACACGTTTAGCCTTTATCTTACTTCTGCTGGCATCCAGGCTGACCTGATGGTAAAACTCCGGCTACTAAACTAAAATAGGCATGTGCAGTATTGTAACCTGTACACGTTGTAAAACATCATCCTAGAAAGGATGTCTGATGGCGTGTTAAAGAAAAAGATTCCCGTGTTTCTTAATTCTTCCCTGAAAGGTAAAGATGGGAACGTTCCTGATTTCTGTGTAACTACTGCTTTTAGAATCAAACACCTAAGGGTGTTTCAAACAATGACTTTTCCAGATATTAAGTATCTTGTTTCCTCTCCAGAATGCTTAGAGCACAAAAGAGAGGACATCAGAAGGCCCAGGGGCGGCAAGGGGCGTGGGCTGGGAGGGAAACCTGGGGTGCACGGTGGCCGGCTGTTTCGGGAGGACCACAGGGGAAGAGAGTGGAACCTTACAGTCTGGGTTACACTGGCAGAACTTCTCACAGAAATTCTGCGTCATGATGCAGGGGCAGGTGCTGTCACAGGGGCGGTCTGGATGGTCACAGGGCTGGTAGTTATACACTTGAGTGGAAGAGTTATCTAGGAGAGAAAAGAGGAGACCAGGACACTGCTGTGCCCGGGCCCCTTCGCCACCCTCCCTCCCACCTTCCCGATCGCCTTGACTGGAAGAGGCTGTCCCAGCCATGATCCTGGACAAGCAGTTAGCACCTGAAGTGAGAAGCCATCAGAGATGACGGTCGTTTGTCAGCTACAGTGGGGTGATTTGCCTCGTGGGGAGAGTGTGGAAACGGTTCGGGACTACAGGGCAGCCATTCCAAACATTAAACAAAGTCTGGAACCTGGCGGATGGCGCACTAAGAAAGTCAGAGACCACAAGGCTCATAACTCTACCTCCTAAGAGGTGCGCTCAGCTGCAGTAAGGAGCTGAGCTGTTTTCAGCTGCTGCAGAGAGATCTGCCTTCTGCGGAAGTGGTACAGGGTCAACAAACGCGGCTGTAGGTGGGGCAGGCGGATGACCACAGGGGTGAGACCTCGCGCTGAACTGCCGACGGGCGCCCTGGTGCAGCTTACCTTTCTTCAGCTGAATTTTCCTGCAGTGGGCAGCCCACAACCTGAAAAAGAGACGGGTGGGCCTGGGTCATGGCTCTGGGGAAGTCTGCAGACTTGGGTAAATAACAATGTGGCCTGCTCTGCGGGACTGTGGTTTGGTCACTGGGAGTATCCTCCCCAGATCCTTTCACAAGAGGCCCCTATCCCACTACATGGACGCCAGAGTTCATCTGGAGTCCAGCTGGTCTATGCTTCAAGATTTAAATATAAACAAACAAAAAGATGCATAAAAACATGAAACCCAACCCTCTGGGTCTATTATGATGTTATTGTTTCTCCCTCGCCCCCCTCCCTCCCTCGTTCTCTTTGGGGAGGTGGAGATGTGGAAGAATTGCAGGATGGGGAGGTGGGAACTTTTCAGGAATCTGCTGAGTGAACGAACCAACAGTGAGAAGCCACGGGGACTTCCTTCTATATCTAGAATTGGTGTCAGTTCCTTCCTTGAGTAGGTGATAGTCATTAGGGAACCGAGGCAGGCAGAATGTTGAATTAAAAAAAAAAAACACACACACACAAAAAATCCTTCCAAATCTAAGCAAAGGCTAGCTAAAAGACGGTGTTATTATGCAACTTAGAAAAACAATACAAGTGCCAAAGGAAAAACTCTGATCAGAGTTGAGAAGTGGGAACAGTGGTCACTAACCACCCAATGAGGAGAAATGACCTCAGGTGGAGGTCATGAGGCCAGCTCTCAACCCTACTGGCCGGGAGCTTCAAGGCACGGCAGACAGTTATCTCCCAGGCCACAGCATCTAGGGACAGGAGAAGGAAGGGCTGGTCCAAGGCACAGACCCACAGGGAGCACTGAGAGGGCTGGCCCTCAGTTGTGCAATCCTAAACTCGAGAGGGAGGCAGCTGGGAAGTCCAAGGGAGGTCAGAGCATGGGGAACAGAAAGTCCTTTGTCCAACCCTTGCCTGTGCTTTCTTTTCTTCTTCTGCGACGGGTTCATGAGCTCATCTGTAGGCAGCTTCAGGATAAGTGATTCTTTGACTGCGAACTGAAAGACCTGGAAGAGAAATCCCACAGGACCTGTCACTCCTTCTTGAGCCAGGTGGTCAGAGAGGTAAGCCAGCCAGGCGCTGGGCTTGGGAGCATTCTGGAGAGCTCGAGGGCGGTTGACTGAGCATCTCTTCACTCGGTGGCAGTGGGGGGTGGGGGTGAGGGGACTGGAGTGGCACTGAGATAATACACCATTAGCCCTGGCATCAATTCTCAACTATTTATCCTGACTCTAGAAAAGAGAAATACTGAGCACAGTTACAGCTCTCCTGATCAGTAGCTTTCATCTACACCTCTGCCTACGGAGCCCTGAGTGGAATGATTCTTTCCAATGCTATCTGTCTCTTCTGAGGAAGGGCAACTTTGGGTCCCTTGTGTAACTGAGTGTAAGAGAGGACAGGAGCGGTATCACTTGGCTAACCACTAGCTCCCTCTGTTGGTATGAAGAGGCCAGACTCTTGTCTATTTCCATAGGCCAGCATTTCTGGAAGGCTGGTTCCCTTGCAACGTGCTTCTTTCCTAATAGCGTTCATTTTTTTGGCTTTTTTTCTTTTCCTTTTCGGCTCTAGGCCCTCTGGAGATTCTGTGAAAACTACAAATCTTCTTCTAAGGAAAATACACGCAAAACTGTTTTGCCCACAATTCTGTAGATTTTCAGGTGAAGAACGTGTGCCTCATGGAAACAGGTATATGAGCTCCAAAATGAAAGCAAAGGGCACTTCCACTCATGGTTCCAGCACGTGTTCTAAGGAGCGGCATCAGGAGGAAGAGGCCTCAGAGATGCCTCCCAGAGTTAGGGAGCCAAGCAGCAGGGCTCCGCTCGGGTGTTCCTTTCCTGTTGGGCGGATCGGCCCTAACACCTGACTGCTCCCTGAACCCTGTTCTTCAGTCTGTCTTCTCACCACAGTTGGGCGGAGACTGACGGGGACATCAGGTCCCACTGCCTCCAGAGCATCGGTGGCTGCTATCAAATGGTGATTCCAGTCATGGCATGAGTGAGGAGGGCGAGGTCCAGGCCCAGCTACTGGGGGCAGCAATTAGAAGAGTTAGCGATAGAACATCTGAGAAGAAAGCAACCAAGGGGACTGACAGAGGGGGTGGTGGCGGCAGCTGCAGAAGCACAAGCAGGCCAGAGGAGAAGGGGGTCCCTTCGAGGAAAGGAGTACACATTTAGAAAGAAAGGCAGGAACCGAAAACAAAGAACAGCAACAAAAAAAGCTAAGAGAGGGCAGAAACACCCAGAAGAGTCAGATAGCAGCTAGAGACAGAAATAAGAATTCAACAGGAGGAAAGCGGATCCCCAAGCACTGCCAGGCTGGCATCTGCAGAAGGTGCCATGTTTGGGGAACCCACCTCGTGGCCCAGAAGCACCTGCTCATGAAGGACTGAGGCTAAGATGGTTCCTATTGAGACAGACCACAAAAGAGGGCAAAAGGGCTGACCGAGCAGTGGATGAGAGGAGGGCCCTGCCTGTCGCGGCTGCTCTCCAAGAGTACCTGCTTGCACGTCTTAGTCCCCAGAAGTCTGGCTATGGAGCAGAAGTTGTTGAAGTAGGTGCCATGAAAGACTCGAAAGAGAGATTCCTCAGCCCCGGTCCATTCCACGGGCTCCGAGGGTGCTTCCACCATGCAGAGCTGAGGGGGCGCTGGACTAGCCTTCTGCTTTGTGGGGGTCTGGCAGCGAGAGTTGGCCTCTAAGGGAGGAGGAGATACAAGCAACAGGAGGAGAGAGAATGTAGTTGTCATCAGGCGTTTGCCACACACTCTGAAGTACATCATTCTGCTTTACAAGGCAGAATAGTTAGGAACCAAAATAACCCTGTCTCGACAGGCGACAGGCGAAGCTATAAAAAGAACTAACCATTTTTAGGGGTGCCTGGGTAGCTCAACTTGTTAAGTATCCAACCCTTGATTTCGGTTCAGGTCATGATCTCACGGTTCGAGAGTTCAACCCTTGCATCAGGCTCTGCACTGAGAATGTGGAGCCTGTTTGGGATTCTCTCTCTCTCTCTGTGCCCCTCCCCACCTCTCTCTTAAAATAAATAAATAAACTTTAAAAAAATAAAAGAACTAACCATGTTAAACAAGTAGTAACGTTAAGTGTTAGGCAGTGATCTTGAGTTTCCCAGAGGCCTTGCATGGGAAGAAAAGATCGCTTTCTGTTCAGTGTACCTGAAGAACTGGAGGCCCAGTCATTGCCTGTATCCCTGTCACTGTCCCCTTCTTTAGTCTCAGCCACAGCAGAGGCTGAAGTGTTGGAGCAGGAAGCACTGCCCATGTGGTGCCTTCGCCGGCGACGCCCGGAGCACTTGGAGCGAGGGTTGTGGAGCATGGCGTACTCCTTCGCTCCTTCCTGCAATGGACATGTTATAGGTGGGAGACAGGAACAGGCCCAGGGTCACCATATTGACCCCATCATCACAGACCCCCTTCTTCAACACTTGTGCTCACGTGCAATGACACTATGTTCTGCTCTGTGCCATGTGAGCATGACTACATAAAAGCTGCCTAACCAACATCCTAAAACTTACACATTTATACCTCTTCACGGAAGAGCTGCCTCGTAAAGTAATATTAAAACGGATATAGTCTGTGCATCTTCAGCTTTCCAGAGAGTAGTGTCTAAAACTCATTTGCATGTTAGCTATTTGGATTGAGAACACATTCTCCTGTAGAAAAGGAAACGAGGTTCAGAGAGGGGAAGGGACCTGCTTGAGCGTATGTAGCTAACTGTTCCAAAATGGGAAAAAGAATGAGGGTTCCCCAGGCCCAGGCCACACTGTTCTTTTCATTCTACTTGCACCACTTCTGTTTCGATAATAAAATATGTAGTCTCTAAATTTGTACAATATCACTACTTACTTCTCCCAAATCAGTTTATTAGACTTGGAAGGATACTGTTTCATTACTTTATAGCTATGCTTTATTTAAAAAAAAAAAAAAAGACCAAATAATTATCACACAGACTGATCATCTACCTTCTCATCAGACTTGGTTCCCGAACACTTCTAGCTGTTTCTGAAAACTAAATCTACATGTGAAGGATAAAGATTTACTAAGGATATTCAGACTAATATCCTGTAGGCCCTAAAGGAAAGTCCAAAAGTGAAGTTTTAAAATTAATTGAGTGTGATATCATGTGCTCGACCTACAATGTGACACACACAGCATCACTTACAATGTATTTGTGCTCAAAAGATTTAACATAAATGTAACTAAGGGTCCAGAGCTAATTCGAGTTCATGGGAAATAGAGAATAAAGAAAGAAGTTCAATAACACCAGGAGAAAACAACAAACAAATCCAAAATAGGGGCAGTATCCTACAGGACAATGAGCCTGGATTTTTCAAAAAGAAAAAAAAATGGTGTGATTACCTGACATTAAAGGAGACTGAAAAGACATAACCAAATATGATGGTTGGATGATTTTGTTTAAAAAAAAATGGGGCGCCTGGGTGGCTTAGTCGGTTAAGCGTCCGACTTTCGCTTAGGTCATGATCTCGCGGTTCGTGGGTTCGAGCCCCGCGTCGGGCTCTGTGCTGACTGCCAGCTCAGAGCCTGGAGCCTGTTTCAGTCTGTGACTCCCTCTCTCTCTGACCCTCCCCTGCTCATGCTGTCTCTCTCTCTCTCTCCTAGAAATAAATAAAAAAACATTAAAAAAAAAAAAAACCCAGCTACTCTTGGTACAGCTGAAAAAATTTAAACATGGAATGGACAGATGATACTATGAAATTCTTCTGAATTTTCTTAGGTGTAATAATGTGGTTATATAAGAGAACATCTGTATTTTTAGGAAGTGCATGTTGAAATACTTAGCAAACAAGTATCTCAATGTCTGCAACTTATTTTCAAATTGCTCACCAAAAGATATGCATACACAAATAGAGGGACAAAGCAAATATGGAAAAAATGTCATTAAATCTAAGAAGGTATCTTTCACCTACTTTCCATGATTGAGAATGTTCTTAGTAAAATGTCTGAGGGACAAATAGCCCAGTATTGTATTTGAAAAATGCACTGATTTCTAAAAAGCAATAAAAGAAAAACTGCACAGACATGTCTTTAAGTTAAACACACAGACATACATTTTGGGCACTGACAACATCTTTGTGAAACATGTACAGGGTTTCAGGGTAATTGCTGTGAAGAGGACAAAATCCATTCAGTTATATAAATGCTGGTGTTGAGGCGCCTGGGTGGCTCAGTTGGTTGAACCTCTGACTTCAGCTCAGGTCATGATCTTAAGGTTTGTGGGTTTGAGACCCATGTGGGCTCTGTGCTGACAGCTCAGAGCCTGGAATCTGCTTCAAATTCTGTGTCTCCCTCTCTCTCTGCTCCTCCCCCACTTGGACTGTGTGTGTGTGTGTGTGTGTGTGTGTGTGTGTGTGTGTGTGTTTCTCAAAAAAAAAAAAAAACATTAAAAAGAAATGAAAGTAAGGGGCACCTGGGTGGCTCAGTCAGTTAAGCATCTGACTTTGGCTTAGGTCTTGATCTCATGGCTCTTGCGTTCAAGCCCCATGTCAGGCTCTGTGTTGACAGCTCAGAGCCTGGAGCCTACTTCAGATTCTGTGTCTCCGTTTCTCTCTGCCCTGTCCCTGCTCACATTGACTCACTCTCACTCTCTCACACACAAAAATAAACATTAAAAAAAAACCCACTCTTTAAAAAAAAAATAAATGAAAATAAAAAAATAAATGGTGGTGTTGATTTAACACAGTGTAATTTTTTAAAATTTTTTAAAGTAACTGAAAAAGCATGGACTATGGAGCTAGACCAGAGCTTTAATTTCATTATTGCCAAACCACTGACATATTAACAAACTTTGGACAAAATATGTAGCTCTATAACCCATAGTTTCTCCCCCTCAGGATGTTGTCATAAGCATGAATGTAAGACAATATACGTTAAGGGCCAGCATGGCACTTGGCACACAGGAAGGAGTCAACCCATAGGGGAAAAAAATAAATCAGAGAAAGTCTATTCTTTTGCTATTATCATAATGGCTCACTTTCCAGATGTATACCCAGTGGCACTTTCTTTTTCCTTTTTTATTTTTTTTAAATGTTTGTTTATTTTTGAGAGAGAGACAGAGAACAAGCAGGGGAGGGCCAGAGAGACGAAGACACAGCATCTGAACCAGGCTCCAGGCTCTGAGCTGTCAGCACACAGCCCGACTCGGGCCCGAACCCAGGAACCACGAGATCATGACCTGAGCCGCAATTGGAGGCTCAACAGACTGAGCCAGCCAGGCGCCCCCCAGTGGTACTTCCTACCATCTTTTCTAAAGATCCCACTAAAGATGGTCCCAAAGGCACCTGGCTCTATAACCTAATTTTAATTGGTAGCAGAAATTTAATTAAGGCAATTTATTCTTTACCTAGACTCACTGTAGTGTGTAGAAAGCAAAACTGTGTCTTTGGCTGGTCCAAGTGAACCTATTCCCTTCTAGTTCTAAGTGTACTGCCTTGACACATGAATGCAGGAGAATTTATGACGCCGCACAAAGCCTGTCCATCAGGGAAGGGTCCATCTGGCTGTTTACCTTACAGTAAGACACGGGTGCTTTCATGTGTTATTTCTTGTACGTTTATATGCATAAAAGAAAACAGCAAAGAAAATGCTGTCACACACACACCTGCCCTCCTCACTCTACAAGACTAACATCATAGTCCTTCATATCTCGGAGCTACTTAAGAACAGAAGGCATATTTTATTTGTGCTTTGTGACCCCCAGAGTGCTACCTATTGGCTTATCTGGTTTGTATTCCCAGGAGCAGAAAACGGAAGGGCCATTTCCTGCTCATTTTTCAACAGAGTTAACGAAGGCAGCACAGTTTAAGAACATACTAGCAAGGGGTGACTGGCTGATTTGGTTGGCAGAGCATGTGACTCTTGATCCTGGGGCCATAAGTTGGAGTCCCAGGTTGGTTGTAGAGATTAGTTAAATAAATAAAACTTTAAAAAAAAAAAAAAAAGAACATACCAGCAAAAGGAAGCAGTCTGTGCCACATGGTTCTGGCTCAATCTTGATCTCTTTGTTCTTGCGTTTATAGACATTAGGGGTGGCATGAAAAGCTGGAAAACATAAAACTGTCCTGTTTCCAATGGTCCTCCCACTCGGCAGGATGGGGAAGAACAAAACTGAATTAGGGAGCTGCCATGGGAAAATTGAGATATAAACAGCTACCTTCGGGGTGCACAAAATTTAATCGTTTCTGACATCAACACAACCCTTTCAAAGCTAACAGGTACTCAGGGACGCGTGTGCTGCTGGTTATTCTGTCCTGACCACACAAAGTCACTGCACCACCATGGAACAAGTGAATATAGAACCTGCCCTCTGTAAAAGTAGTGTCAGGACAGAAGCCGGAAACTCCGTATGATTAAAATAAACAGAAGGACGTGGTGGTTGGGGATGGAGGACGGGAAAGTATTTCAGAGCAGCTCCACTCACGGTGAAGGAAGCAATCGTATTTGAAGCAACGTCGACAAAAAAGTGTGTGGAAGGAGTGCAGAGATTGCTCCCGCTGCACGGACTTGGCGTTGGGGCCGTCGATGTTGGGGGTGCACTGAGGGGGAAGCGCGTTGGGGTCAGACATCTCCGTCAGCTCCCGGTACCTATTTTTAAAAAGAGAGATGAGAATTCCTTCCAAGGAAACACCTCCACTGAGAAAGTACTGACCACGCACTGACAGCCACCCAGGTACAGTCGGCCAAGGGGGCATGGGTGTCCTTTATGGGGCCTGCTGATGGCAGAACGGCGTACACCTAAGTGTGTGCACCACTGCACCCGTGCTGGGCCGGGGACATGTTTGCAACCAAAGAGAGAGACAGATTTGGGAAGTATGGTGCTGGAGTAACTCTCCAGACAGATGCAGAATTTCAGAAGTTCACTGCTCAAACTTACTGCAAATCCAGCAAACAAGGCCCTTTAATATGGGAATGGGTAAGCAAATGAAGCAGGAAATAATCGGAAGTACGAGCAAATCATAGCACATTTACCAGAAACACGGTTTTTTATAAACATAAAACATGTTGGTTAGCCAAATTTAGGCTTGAATAAAAGTTTTGCCTGAGCGCTCTACGTGGCCTAAGTGGAACGGCCTTCCCTACCTCTCCTTCATGTCATCCGGGACACCGTTCTCAGGGAACATTGAGGCAATTGCACTGAAGATCATGTCGTTTGGGAACTGTTTCTTGGAACTCTTTTTGTTGCCTGAATTGGAAATGACAGAGAGCTCCTGAGCTATAATCAGAGGATGCAGACAAAGCTGTTTGGGCATTTTCCCTTTTGTTACAGCATTTTGATTAGAGCTGCTAAGCTAACCCAACCACGGACTGTTTAGGAACACATAAAGAAAGTCAATGCTATCTAGACTTGCCTAATAGGTTACTAGTAACAAGGAAATCAGAGTCCTCTATACATTAATGACAAAATCCACAGTCCAAGATATTAACAACATGGAAAAATGCTTATGATAGAAGATCAAATAAAAAGGGATACAAAATTGTGTATGTGTGTATATCTGTGGCATAATCCCATTTCACATAATGCATATAAAACATGCTGACTTATACATATACTTTTTTTATTCTATACATACTTTTAAAAACTTGAGATGTAGTTGGAGTACAACATTATATTCATTTCGGGTATGTGTATGTGTATATTTTGTGTATCCACACGCAGACCCACCCCCACACACACATTTTTTAGATCTAGAAGAAAATATTAATGCTGGTTATTCCTAGGTAGTAAAATTACGTGATAATTATATTTTCTTCTTTATAACTTTACATGTCTCCCAAACACACTACTCTTGTTTCCTTCAGAGCGAACCAAATGAGAAGCACCAGCAGCCTTTAAAAATCAACAAACCTTTCTGTTTCTCCCTTCTTCCCTCTCCCTGTCACTTTCAAAATAGAATATGTACCTTCAAGAGCATGTCGTTTTCTCTTTCTCGTTACTGGCAGATCTTCTTTGCTCTCATCTTGCTTTCCATCTGAGGTGTCATTGTGCCCTTCCTCCTCTTCATCTGAGTATTGATTCAGAGCATCTACCAACTCCAGGAAAACAGCATCACTAATCAGGACAGATCCAGGGATCATCTCTAAAACGTAAAGATTTGACGGATGAGCAGTGGTCATTTGATGCTCCCTTAGTCCTCCTAGGAAGGTTTTCTTGTCTTCACTCCTGAGGTGTGACTCACGTTATATAACCTAGGTACATTTTTATATGAACAGTCAGGAAATTACAATATGTGGATTGGCTCTTACAGCTGCAACAACTGAGCTGGTTACACTGGGAAATCCAGTTATATAGGCTTTACTCTAACTGGGATAGTTCACTTCCTCAGTCACAGATCAACCTGTATTTATGGTCCAAAATCCCACAAAAGTGTATAAACAATACAAGTGGAACAGGGAAAGAATGATAACATGAAAATGTACTTGGTTTTGCTGCTGATAAGATGCTAGTGACTTCTCTGAACCAAAAGACAGAATTATCTTCTTAAAATCACATTATATGGGGTTACACCACAACTTAGGATAAAGTCTTTGAACACGAGGGGGCGCAGTAGATAAATAATGCATTTTCAACAGTACAACTGTCAAAAGAGCTGGTGAGGCCATTGGTCGGCAAAGTCCTGGGGAGTCTCTCCCCATCTTCCCACTTCTTACACATTGGCAGCCTTTTCTGGAACTACAACTAAATCCAAATGACTCGCTTTTAGGAAAGTCAGAATATTATAGCCAATTTCTGGGAGACCCAGGATATATCTGGATCAAAGTAGGACAGAGATTATGTTCGTTGCCATTCTCAGAGAAAGAGAAAGGAAGAACAAAATGGCTTTGGGTGGATTTATGGAAAACTCCTAATATCATACTTATCTGTGCACTAAACTTTCTCCCCGGCCACGGATTACTACATATATAAAATCCTTTTATGTCACAACTCTTAAAATTTAACTGGGGGCATCTTTAATAGAAAATTTTTACTCCCAGACAACGAAACATTCTTCAGTGTGTACACCGTGAGCAGCAGACAAGAGCGAGATGATGATGTACCGAAGAAGGGGCATCATTTTAATCATGTTTTCTCCCAAAGAGCCCAGCACCGCTACCTTCTTCACCGTGGACTTTCCCGTCATAGTTATTGATGAGCTCCTCAATGAAAGTCTCATCTTCTTCTTTCACCTCATCTCCCATGTAGGGAATATTGCACAAAACTGTCTCATCTTCTACCTGAAATCAAACCAGATGTGATTCATTCCATGAATCCACCAGGCATCTCCTCTTTCCTGTTGAACAGAATCATGGCTGGGCCTTTTTTGCTGCTTGAATTTCCTGAAAACACCTTTGGTTACAGTGTTTCCTGCATTTCTAAAGGCTGGCCATTTTGTGTTGCCACCAAAACTTCAAATGGAAGGGGGCAATGCTCTTCTTAGGGGAAAAAAATCAGTTTAACTACTTGAGGATATTAACTACCAACTGTTTAGCCTAGTACTAACAATGAAATTTCCACCAACATGTAGAAATTGACAGCACATTTATTTTTCACAGGGATTCCACATATTATCTAATTTTATCTATCAAATATCATTGTAAAATAGGTATAGATATCACTTAAACAATAGTCTAAAAAGCCTTCAGTTCCAATTCTTCTCATAAGTAGAGATACATAAATGAAAAGGAAGGCTTCCAAGAGTATAACTGGAATATTCAGAACGGAACCTGGGCAACCCTACAGTTTCTGGACAGTCTCTTATACAAACTAAGACGAACCTCCCATAATCGTTAATAAAAAATTATGATTATAACTCAGGTCGATCATACTCAAAGGGAAGCTAAACTCAGCTGCAGTATGAGCTATGAATATTTCCTAGCTAAAGAAAATACTAATGGATTTTTGTATTGTTGTTTTTCAGCAGAAAACGTGGTCATTCTTAATTCCCCAAGTATTAAGTGAAATTACCCCAAAGTTTTATTCTAAGAGAGGATTCCCTTCTGTAAACCTATATCCTATTCCAGTGAGGAGAACTGCTGTCACCCAGCAGATGATAAGCAATGGCAGTATTTAGAGGACTGATTATCAGAACCAAAGCTAATCCGAATAGGAGTCAGCATAAAGGCCCAGATGAAAGGCTCTTGAATCCAAGTGCACCTCTATTATCTCAGTTGCTTTCACAGCATCTTGCCTTTAGGGGATTCAGAAAAGATTGCTCCATCAGCAGGGAGATGTCAACCTGCTTAAGGCTCAAGTGTCTGATTTAGACTGCATTTAACTGCATATGCTAAAAAACTAGGCCAAAGTAGTAAGGGAAAACTGGAGTCTTGCCCAGTCTCATTCATTCAAAAAAGAATCAGCATTGGGGTGCCTGGGTGGCTCAGTCAATTAAGTGTCCAACTCTTGATCTCGGCTCAGGTCATGATCTCAACAGTTTGTGGGAGTGAGCCCCTCATTGGACTCTGCGCTGACAATGTGGTGGCTGCTTGGGATTCTCTCTCTCCTCTCTCTCTGCCCCTTCCCAGCTCACATGCTCTGTCTCTGTCTCTGTCTCTCTCTCTCTCAAAATAAATACATCTTAAAAAAAAAAAAAAAAAAGAAAAGAGCTAGCATCAATTCAGAAGGACACTTCGGAGAGCACAAAATCTAATGAGTTAGAATAACATGTGCTATATGTATGTATTATGTGTGTGTGGAGAGAGAGAGTAAATAAATGATAAAAACAGCCCGCCCTGCATGCCCAAGCTTTGTGAAGTACAATCTGACAATCTTTACCCTAAGAAGAGTGCCAGCATACCAACAGAGGATAATCATACAGTTTACACCATCACCACACGGCGTTTAATACATACCATAAAGTTCTGCTGGAGAGGGGACCAGGAATACATGATGGGAACCAAGGCAACTGTGTTCAGAGACCTCATTAGCATATGTTGGCTTGCAAATCCTGGGAAAATGCTCTCTATGGTACACTGAAATATAAACAAAGACATGGAGAGGGAAAGGCAAGCACATGACCCAAGAGAACTGTAGTGGGGCACCTGGGTGGCTCAGTCTGTTAAGTGTCCGGCCCCTGATTTGGGCTCAGGTCATGATCTCAGGGTTCATGGGATCAAGTCCTGCATCGCGCTCTGCACCGACAATACAGAGCCTGCTTAGGATTCTCTCTCTTCTCTCTCTCTGCTCCTCCCCCACTTGTACTCTCTCTCTCTCTCAAAATAAATAATCTTTAAAAAATTTTTTTGAAATTTTAAAAAAATTAAAAAGAGAACTGTAGTTTCCTTCCAGAATGGTCCCAGTAGTCTTCTAATTCTTGCAAATTAATAGGCTGAGGGTTTTGTAACAATCAGCTCCTAAAAAAGGAACCACTGGACTATAAAGCTGTAGAAACTGTCTCTTATTCATCTTTGCATCATCTACAGACTCCAGCACGGTGCCTCTCACACCCAACTGGTGTTTATTTCAATGTAAAATTGCTGATCTCCTTGGGCTGTCCACAACAGCAAAAGGCCTCTGAAAGTCCTAGGAGATGAAGAAGTTTTCCTGAGGAGCCAAACTTTAAGACAGTTGGCCTCAACTTGGCTGCAGAGGAGATGGAGACAGTAGGGGGCGAGCAAAGCAGTATAGAAATTAGAGTCATATTCTGCTTTGGAGAAGAAAATTGCTCTCAGTACACTATCCACTTTTTATAGCTTAAAAATATTATCTTTTTAGAGCACCTGGGTGGCTCAGTCGTGATCTGAGCATCTGACTCTTGATTTCAGCTAAGGTCGTGATCTCATGGTTCGTGAGTTCAAGCCCTGAGTTGGGCTCCTTGCTGACAGTGCAGAGCCTGTTTGGGTCTCTCCCCCTCCCCCCCTCCCCCCGCCTCTGTCCTCTGTGCCTCCCCTGCTCAAACATGCACACACACATTGTTTCTCTTCCTCACTCTCAAAATAAACAAATAAACTTAAAAAAAGAGAGAGAGAGATTTATTTAAAAAATATTATCTCTTTAAGAAACAAGAATGATTTGGGGCGCCTGGGTGGCTTAGTCGGTTAAGCGTCCGACTTTCGCTTAGGTCATGATCTCGCGGTTCGTGGGTTCGAGCCCCGCGTCGGGCTCTGTGCTGACTACCAGCTCAGAGCCTGGAGCCTGATTCAGAATCTGTGTCTCCCTCTCTCTCTGACCCTCCCCTGCTCATGCTGTCTCTCTCTCTCTCTCTCTCTCTCTCCTAGAAATAAATAAAACATTTAAAAAAAAAAAAAAGAAACAAGAATGATTTTAGATTTACAACAAGGAATATTCCTTTGACCAATATATTCCTGCCCATTATCCTGGGTCCTCCCTTCTAATATCAAAGCACCAAAGGTGCCAAACAAGGCACAGGGAAGTTTGTTTTGAAGCTCCTACACAGAGCCCAGGAAAGTAGACACTGTTTAATTTTTCTATTAAAAAACAAACAAACAAACAAAAAAACCCCACATACACACAAAGGGGCACTTGGTGGCTGAGTTGGTTGAGCATCTGACTTTGGCTCAGGGAATGATCTCACAGCTCCTGAGTTCAAGCCAGCCCCACACATTGAGCTCTCTGCTGTCAGCCTGTCAGCACAGAGCCTGCTTCGGATCCTCTGTCCCCCTCTCTCTGCCCCTCCCCTGACTGTACTCTCTCAAAGATAAATATTTAAAACACACACACACACACAAAACACTCAGGGGGCCTGGCTGGCTCACTCAGAATAGTCTTTGTTTATTGATCTTGGGGTTGTGAGTCCAAGCCCCATGTTAGAAATAGAGATTACTTAAAGATAAAATCTTAAAATAAAATCCTCATTATTATACCCATCAACTGCAGAGAGTAATAGGTGAATAAGCTATTCTTTAAATTCAGATTTACCATCCCAGTTATTCATAGTTGACTATAGTATAACTGTATCCATTATCCTTACTTATTTTCTAATAAGTCACAAATACAGAAAACAAACAAACAAACAAACTCAAGTCCAAGGAAACAAAGAAGCTGAGCTTAGACACCTGGAAGTACCTTTTTGAGAAAAGGATGCCCGCTCACAGGCTTCATCAACTGCACAGGTTGGACACGAAGCTTCTTCCATTCTTCATTGAGGATCTGGGTTTTTTCCTGAACTTTTGCAAAATTTGCTACATACAGAGCCTAGAAAACCCAAAGGAACAATGGTTAGGATTTCAATAGAAGAGTTTTTAAAAGCCCAGCCTGGGGAGCCTGGGTGGTTCAGTCGGTTAAGCATTGGACTTCGGCTTAGGTCATGATCTCACAGTTCGTGAGTTCAAGCCCCGAGTTGGACTCTGCGCTAACAGCGTAGAACCTGGAGCCTGTTTTGGATTCTGTGTCTCCCCTCTCTCTGCCCCTCCCCACTCACCTCTGTCTCTTTCAAAAAAAAACATTTAAAAAAATTAAAAAGCCCAGCCTTCCACATCAGATCAGTATATTAAAATAGATAACCTGGTGCTCACTTCGGCAGCACATATAAAATAGATAACCCGTCACGCAGAAGCTGGTTTTTACCTTCGCGCCCATATTTGCCTGAAGCCGTTTCAGTTGTCGGAGTCGCATGTATTCAGATTTAACTTTTCTTTTCCAGTAAGTGATACATTTGGACGTTGGGGGGTTTGGCATATCCATTTTGCTGTAATCCAAGAAGAGTCAGAGATGAGAAATAGCATCTTACTGCCTGGAAATGAAGAATGCCTCAAACTCAAATCAACATGGTCAGTCTTGCTTCCCTTCCCACGGGATTATTCATAAAAACACAGTTTAAAGAACCCAATCTGTGAGCTCAACAAAAGGTTTCAATTAAAAATAAAAAAAGGTTTCAACCAGAAGTTCCTGTTCTGATCACCAAAAAGCTCAGCCTCTGTCCTCCTGTGGCACCTTGTTTTTAATTCAGTACTCAGGAAGTTCTCTCACGGGTCTGTGGGGATGCGTATTCCTTGGTAATTTGGAAGCCTACTCAATACCTTGTCTAAGAGAAATGTTCTGCAAGAACCAATACCAAAGAGCTTCAGGGAGATCCACCCACACTACAAAACTGTACCTGTCAAACCGTCTCAACCCACCACATGCCTAGCAATAAAGGTAGGATAGACAGAACAATTGCATAATATCATCTCCAAGCCAACAGCAAGACACACAGAAATAGAACAATGCTAATCACTTTCTTATTGAGTGGAGGGGGGGGGTTTGAATTAAGGTTCAAAGATCTAAGGAAGTACTTACTGTAACATACTCTACCCACCTCATAGAATGCAAGCGGAAGTGTCTGGTTTTATAACGTGCCTTCTGGTCTTCAGAGGGATGGCAAGTCACTAAGGCAAAATGAATGTTGAGCTTTTCAAAAGAGAACAGACAGTGGTTTTAAGTCAATGGAGCATATTTAGACCCTGATACCCTACATAGGATGCTCACCCAGAACTATGAAGGCTTCAGGGTTTCTGCAACACCTATTTCTGCAGGGAAGTCAGGCCCCGGTCATACTGGATGCCATTTGCTCTTTATTATTAAATTCCAGTCTTCCAGACATGTGTGCAAATTTATTCTCACAACTGCACAATCCAGTTCACTGCTTCTGCTTTTTCTGAACTAATTTCTAGGCTCAGCCAGCAGACTCATCAATTGTTTCAGAGAAAGAACAAATACTAAGTCCATGTGAAAATTTAGTAACATCTATAAGGTTATATTTCACTCTATTCTAACTACGGGGGTTTCCTAGACAACTAGTTCTACTCATTTCACCTAGCATTTAAGTTAATGAAAACATTACAAGGGGCTATGAAGAACCAATATTTGAAATAAAAACTAAGGTTTCAGGTCTTGTTTTTTTAAATTTTATGAAAAAAAATTTCTTTGGGGTGTAAGAACATATTTCTTTTTTTTTTAATTGTTTTAATTTTATTCATTTTTGAGAGAGAAAGAGACAGAGTACAAGGGGCAGAGAGAGAGGGAGACACAGAATCTGAAGCAGGCTCCAAATGCGTGAACCGCAAGATCATGACCTGAGTCGAAGTCGGACACTTAACCAACTGAGCCACCCAGGTGCCCAAAGAACATACTTCTTCTAAAGAGGCATTTTAAAATTACCCGTTTTCCCCCTTGAGAAATGACAGCACTGACAAGAAAACAGCAAATTTTAACCCTCTGTCTCACATTTGTCACAATCAGACATGATTATAACATCTCATGCATGTGGACTTTAAGAGACTGCACCTGATTGTTTCATTTGAAGAATCAAATGGATTGGCATACTGTGATGTTAAATTTAATAAATTTAGAGGATACATAAAGAACAGAAGGAATAGCAAAGAAACAGGCAGACTCGCAGGGTTTACTATTAACTCAATTAAGTGATTCAAGCTCTTAAAAACAGAATTCCTTGTGAGTTAACTATTATCTCTCTGGGGGAAGGGAATGAAACAACAGCATAATCTAAGAATCTGAGTCCCAGGCTGCTAAGATGCTGAGTTATAAAAAAGAGAAAAAATTATGTAGACCTGAATTTCTTTCCCACAAATTGCACTGTCTCTCTTCCTCCAACATCTTTTTAAATACTTCTCATTCCTCATGGAATGGGGCCAAAAGAGAGACTTTTTTTTTTTTGAATGATGAAAACTATTTAAGAACATACAGCACACTCACATTAATGTTGAGTGCATTGCTCATATAATTTCTGCCTTGAACAAGCATGATAGTCTGTTCCAGAAAATGAAAAAATGATTCAAATCCAGGACACAACTGCCTCCCTCAGAAACCTCAGGTTAGCCTTACTGACACCCAAATGTTATAGATCTTAATTCAGTCACACTTCATAACCTCCTAAAAAGTGGTTTTGAACTGCAATCTTTCTGACATTTTCTGGGGGAGCTCATTTTCCTTTTTGAAATAGTAAGCTTATGGCAGGTTGTTGTGTCCATTTAAAACTGGGGATCAGGGGTGCCTGGGTGGCTCAGTAGGTTAAGCCTCTGACTTTGGCTCAGGTCATGATCTCATGGTTCGTGGGTTCGAGCCCCACATCGGGCTCTGTGCTGACAGCCAGCTCAGGGCCTGGAGCCTGTTTTGGATTCTGTATCTCCCTCTCTCTCTGATCCTCCCCTGCTCATGCTGTCTTTCTCTCCCTCTCTCCAGAAATAAATAAAACATTTAAAAATTTTAAAAAATATAAAATAAAACTGAGGATCAAGGGGCCCCCTGGTTTAAGTGTCCAAATACTGATTTTGGCTCAGGTCATGATCTCATGGTTCATGGTTTCAAGCCCCACATCAGGATCTGTGCTGACAGCACAGACTCTCTCTCTGTCTCTCTGTCCCTCAAAATACAAAAAAATTTAAATGTTTAAAAAAAAAACCCTGGGGATCAAATAATGGAAAAAGAATAAAATCCACAGCTGCTAAGGGGTGTGTGTGTGTGTGTGTGTGTGTGTAGATTTTAGAGACGGCCACAGAAAAATATCTTTTTTGTTGTTGTTGTTAAAGAAAGGAATTATAATTGTGGAGGGCCTGGGTGGCTCAGTTCGTTGGACATCTGACTTTGGCTCAGGTCATGACCTCGCAGTCCGTGAGTTCAAGCTCCACATCAGGCTCTGTGTTGACAGATCAGCCTGGAGCCTGTTCCCTTTCTCTCTACCCCTTCCTCATTCACACTCTGTCTCTCTCTCTCCCTCTCAAAAATAAACATCAAAAATTTTTTAAAAGACAGGAATTATAATTGAAATGTGATTTACAGTCTGTCAAGAGAGAAGACAGGACACATAGTCCAATAATTAATGGCACTATTTCTAATTTTATGTAAGTGCTTTATTTGGCCAGAAAAGTATACATATATACATGAAAACGCCATTGACTTTTAACCAATCACAATGTAAAATAAGCCACACTCCCTCCTTTTTACAATTAATGTGATATTTGAGTCTCATGTGACTATGAGCTAATATTTACTTTTCCCAGCTTTTTAATGGATCTTCAAAGCCTCTAGAAGTTTATTTGGCAGTTAGTCAGCCCCCACAGGGTGCAGAAGGAAGACGAGACAAACTGTTTGGAATAGATAGGTATGATTGAAATAAACACCTGAAACATAGCCATAAGATGGGTTTTCATAGCAGCAGAATGCTGACCAACAACTACCGCTTCAAAGATTTTTTTTTTTTAATTTAAAAAGCAAATAAACAAAAACTCAACATTCACTAGAATATATTTGGATAAATGGGTTCGTTCATCTTGGGCAAACGGGGTGGCACACAAAAACTACTTTATATTTCTACTAGATTGATTCTTTAGTTACTGACACATGCAGAACAGTCATTTATATTCCAGTTGAGTACGAGGCTGGTCCTTAAGAGCTTTTCATTATATTCACTTATATGTTGAAAATAAACATATGCTGGGATGCCTGGGCGGCTCAGTTGGTTAAGTGTACAACTTTAGCTCAGGTCATGATCTCATGGTTCATGAGTTCGAGGCCCGCATCAGACCCTGTGCTGACAGTTCAGAGCCTAGAGCCTGCTTCGGATTCTGTGACTCCCTCTCTGTCTGTCTCTCTCAAAAACAAACAAACAAATAAATAAATAAACATATGCTGCTTTGATCTACAAATTTAAGAGTAAGTCTTTATATAAATAACTCCTCTACAACTCGGTAAGATAGCCCAATCAAAAATGGGCAAAAGATTTGAACAGATACTTCCAAAAAAGGTACTGGAATGGCAAATAAGCACACAAAAAGATACTCAGTATCAATATTAGTCATTAGGGAAGTGCAAATTAAAATCAAAGTGATGGATTACTATACACCCATTAGCAGGTCTAAAATCAAAAATACTGATAATACCAACTGTTAGTGAGGTGAGGCTGTGGAATAACTGGAATCCTTATACGCTGCTGGTTGGAAGTGCAAAATGTAGAGCCACTTAGGAAAACAGTTTGCTAATTGTTTTTTTAAGTTAAATATATACTTACCACACAACCTAGCATACAGTTTCTATTATTTATCCAAAAGAAATGGAAACATATGTCCCCACAAAGACCTCTACACAAATGTTCATAGCACCTTTATTCTTAGTAACCAATAAGTAGAAACAACATAAATATCTGTGGAGTGCCAAACGGATACACATTGACAGTTTGTCCATAGGACGGAATACTACTCAGCAATAAAAGGGAATGAGGAGTTCCTCATTCCTACACACGCACAACATATCTCAAAAGCATTACGTTAAGTGAAAGAAACCAAGTACAAAAACCTATGTATAATATGTTCTACTAGAATGATTCTATGAATGGCAAGTCTATAGTGACAGAAAGCAGATTAGTGGTTGCCAGAGGCTGGGGTTGGAGAAAAGGATTAAATGGAAAGAAGCATGGGGCGCCTGGCTGGCTTGGTTGGTAGGACCCCTGGATCTCAGGGTTGTAACCTCAAGACCCACATTGGGTGTACAGATTCCTTAAAAATAAAATATCTTTAAAAAACAAAAATAAAATAAATGGAAAGAAGCATAAAGGAACATTTTGGGGATGATGAAAATATTTTATACCATGGCTGTGGTGTTGGCCATAGGACTATGCACTTTTATGAAAACTCCCTGAACTGTATATATAAAATGTGAATTTATCATATGTAAATTTCTACCTCAGTAAAGCTGATTAAAGAAAAAAATAAGTCTTGATGATGTATCAATCCAGTAATTTTCTAGAGACTTTTATTATTAAAAATCAGCAGGTAATTCTACCTTTTAAAAAAAACTTTGAGTGGGGCACCTGGGAGGCTCAGTTGATTAGGCATCAGACTTCAGCTCAGGTCCTGATCTCACAGCTTGTAAGTTCTAGTCCCACATGGGGCTCTGTGCTGACAGCTCAGAGCCTGGAGCCTGCTTCATTCACATTCTGTCTCCCTGTCTCTCTGCCCCTCCCCCGCTCATACGCTGTGTGTCTCTCTCTCAACAATAAATAAACAATAAAAAAAAGTTAAAAAAAAACTTTGAGTGACTTCACAATGAATAACAACAGTGGGATGATCAATACTGGTTCATTAACTGTAAAAAAAAGAGGTTACATGTATGCTAATATAAGATGTTAATAATAAAGGAACTGGATATGGAATTTATGGCAACTCCTTGTATTTTATATATATATATATACATATATATAATAAATTTAAAACTGTTCTAAAAATTAATTTTATTATCATTTTTTGTTTTATTTATTTTTTTTAATTTTTATTTTTTTTATATCCGAGAGAGACAGTGTGAGCAGGAGAGGGTCAGAGAGAGAGGGAGACACAAAATCTGAAACACGTTTCAGGCTCTGAGCTAGCCATCAGCACAGAGCCCAACCCGGGGCTCGA